GACAACTATATGAATAAACCTGGGAGACATTACACAGAAATACAAATACTATATGACTCACTTATATGTGAAATCTAAAAAAAGTAGAACTCACAGTAGTATAGAATAGGAATATGTTTATCACAGTACAATTCACACTTGGAAAGATATGGAATCAAACTAAGTGCCCATAAACTTAGTGGATGAGTGGACAAAGGAAATATGCACCGTGGAATACTACTCAGCCATGAAAAAGAATGAAGTAATGTCTTTTGCAGCAACCTGGGTGGAACTAGGAGGCATTATCCTAAGTGAAGTATCTCAGGAATGGAAAAAAAATACCTCATGTACTCTTTTATAAGTGGAGTTAAGTGATGTATATACATGGGCATATAGAGTACTGTAATAGACTTTGAAGACTCAGAGGGGAAGGGTAGGAAGAGGGTGAGGGGTCAAAACTTACCTGTCTTGTACAATGTATACTATTCCAGTGCCAGGTACACTAAAAAGGCCCTGACTTAATTATGCAATTCATCCATGTATCAAAAAATCACTTGTACTCCCTAAATTTACTGAAATTAAAAAAAAAACAAAAACTAAAAACAAGCATAGAATGAAAATGTGGTTGCCAGAAGTTGAAGTGAGAAGATATTGGTCAAAGGTACAAAGTTTTAAGTAGACAAAGGAATAAGTTTTTGAGATCTGTTAGTTGATAATATTATAATGTATATTTCAAAAGTGCTGAAAGTAGATTTTAAATGTTTGCACCACACACACAAAAATGGTAAGTAGGTGAGGTTATGGAAATGTTACTTAGCTTGATTTGATATTCTGTAATGTATACATATCAAAACATTATATGTACTACATAAATATATATGATTATTATTTGTCAATAAAAGAGAAAAGGAAAAGAATTAAACAAAGGAAAAAGATATAAAATAAATAATGAACTCTAACTTAAGAAGCTAGAAAAAGAAATGGAAATTTAACTCAAACTAATTAGAGAAAATGAAATAAGAAACATA